GAATCCCTCACCTAACCTAACCTCACCTAACCTAACCCTAACCTCACCTAACCTAACCTCACCTAACCCTAACCTAACCTCACCTAACCTAACCTAACCTAACCTCACCTAACCTCACCTAACCTCACCTCACCTCACCTAACCTAACCTAACCTAACCTCACCTAACCTAACCTCACCTAACCTCATCTCACCTAACCTCACCTAACCTAATCCTACAAGTGATTTCCTCTATGACTCTCGATGACTATATCTTGATGAGACAGTAATAAGAATCTCACCTGATCTTTCGCTGTGACATTCTTTGCTACATGCTGGGAGGCGGGACAAAGATTCTGCATAAACGGACGTAACACCACGCCCTCAACCACGCCCATAAGGAGGAGAGACAACTGAGCAGACTTCATCACGCCCGCTGGTGAAGAAGACTCACCTACGACTGACTCAGGTTAGGATTAGAATCTTTCATCCACCTTCACTAACACGAAAAAAAATTATGATAATATACTCAATCTATTTTATTTTATCACCATTTCTTAGAAGGAATGTGTAGTGTACACTTCTTCAGACTACATGATGATGTGCGTGTGATGTGTGTGTGATGTGCGTGTGATGTGTGTGTGATGTGCGTGTGATTTGTAGTCTCACGCGATGTCTTGTTGCAATACCGGTATCTCTTCGATCCTTGGCAATCATATACCAATAAACTCACGAATTCTTCATTTTAACGTCATTCTTCACGGTAGGTCGTGTGTGTGTGTGTGTGTGTGTGGTACAGGAGTTGAGGTATGCATACATATAGTGTTAATATACATGTATGATACAGGTATAAGTATGAATCAGTTTACCTGTGGGTGATGAGACTTCATACGTGGTGAGGGTAATTAACAGGTGTACTGTATGTGTGAGCTGGGAGGAGTAGCACTCATACGACTACCCAAGTGCTTATAGACAGCCCCCCATAGTGCTTATAGCCCCCATAGTCCTGATAGACCCCATAGTCCTAATAGACCCCATAGTCCTAATAGACCCCATAGTGCTTATAGCCCCCATAGTCCTAATAGACCCCTAGTCCTAATAGACCCCATAGTCCTAGACCCCATAGTCCTAATAGACCCCCCTAATAGTCCTAATAGACCCCATAATAGACCCCATAGTCCTAATAGACCCCAGTCCTAATAGACCCCCTAGTCCTAATAGACCCCATAGTCCTAATAGACCCCCTAGTCCTAATAGACCCCATAGTCCTAATAGACCCCATAGTCCTAATAGACCCCCTAGTCCTAATAGACCCCATAGTCCTAATAGACCCCCTAGTCTTAATAGACCCCATAGTCCTAATAGACCCCATAGTCCTAATAGACCCCATAGTCCTAATAGACCCCTAGTCCTACCCCATGGTCCTAATAGACCCCATAGTCCTAATAGACCCCATAGTCCTAATAGACCCCCTAGTCTGAATAGACCCCATAGTCCCCTAAATAGACCCCATAGTCCTAATAGAACCCCCTAGTCCTAATAGACCCCATAGTCCTAATAGACCCCTGAACCGAATATTCACCAATACTTTCGAGTGGTGTAAAATACTGTCCATTAATATTACTAGGCAGGATGGGATGAATTTACTACTGTGGGTGAACTCCTGACACGCTGGCGCTGTGTTTTGAAACCCTGGCGACTCAGACAATCTATATATTTTTTTTGGTCTCGTTATCATTTCTGTGTCTGTTTATTTCGTTAACTGTCTGTTTTTGTTGTTGTCTGTCTATCTGTTATCTGTCTGCTTGTGTGATAAAAATTCTTAAGGGAAGTGATATGATGGATTTAAATATCTCGTGTTGTATCTCAGTTGGTGAGAGACACTTGGGCTTCACCACACAGGTTAATGTATCAGGTGGAGAGGCAGGTATCTCACCTTTATACTCTTGTGGTGAATTTATATACCTGTCTTGGTCGGTCTTTTAAATCAGGTAGATTTTTTTTATACGTTCAATAGTTAGAAATACGTGTGTGTGTGTGTGTGTGTGTGTGTGTGTGTGTGTGTGTGTGTGTTTGTGTAATAATAGTAATAATAATAATAATAATAATAATAATAATAATAATAATAATAATTGACGGTTTATTGAAAAAGTTCTGCAGCCCGAAGGCTGAAAATATACATTGGACATAAATGACTTATTACATACATTGGTGGTTTAACAAAAGCCTTCATTATAGAAAGGTAAAGGAACATACAGTGAACATACAGATTAATGTAGGTGTTGAACAGCAAAAACGTAGTGTAGTAACTCCCTCCCAGATGGTGTTAGGAGGGACCTCACGTGGTGTAGTAGTTCCCTCACAGATGGTGTTATAGGGCCTCACGTGTATAGTAATTCCCTCACAGATGGTGTTATGAGGGGCCTCACGTGGTGTAGTAATTCCCTCACAGATGGTGTTATGAGGGGCCTCACGTGGTGTAGTAATTCCCTCAGATGGTGTTATGAGGCCTCACGTGGTGTAGTAATTCCCTCACAGATGGTGTTATGAGGGGCCTCACATGGTGTAGTAATTCCCTCACAGATGGTGTTATGAGGGGCCTCACGTGGTGTAGTAATTCCCTCACAGATGGTGTTATGAGGGGCCTCACGTGGTGTAGTAATTCCCTCACAGATGGTGTTATGAGGGGCCTCACGTGGTGTAGTAATTCCTCACAGATGGTGTTATGAGGGGCCTCACGTGGTGTAGTAATTCCCTCACAGATGGTGTTATGAGGGCCTCACGTGGTAGTAATTCCCTCACAGAGGGTGTTATGTGTGGTGTAATAATTCCCTCACAGATGGTGTTATGAGGGGCCTCACGTGGTGTAGTAATTCCCTCACAGATGGTGTTATGAGGGCCTCACGTGGTGTATTATTCCACAGATGGTGTTATGAGGGGCCTCACGTGGTGTAGTAATTCCCTCACAGATGTTGTTATGAGGGGCCTCACGTGGTGTAGTAACTCCTTCACATATGGTGTTATGAGGGGCCTCACTTGGTGTAGTAATTCCCTCACAGATGGTGTTATGAGGGGCCTCACGTGGTGTAGTAATTCCCTCACAGATGGTGTTATGAGGGGCCTCACGTGGTGTAGTAACTCCTTCACATATGGTGTTATGAGGGGCCTCACTTAGTGTAGTAATTCCCTCACAGATGGTGTTATATGAGTGAGGTGTGGTTCCAGGCCTTCCTATCGTAGACTGTGTGAAGGTCAACTTGGGTACCACTGTTTCTGTTGAGTTGTTCTCACTGACTTAAGCACTGTTCACCACTGTTCACCTCTGTTTAACACTGGTTCAATTCCTTTCCTAAATGAAATAGTAACTTCTGGCGAGAACTTGTTGATATTCCGGTGGGGAGGAGGGTTCAGGGGAGGGGGTTGGTATGGGCCAACTTAACAGTTGACCTGGCTGCTCCGAGAGGAGTGCCAGGTACGTCTTTACCCTTCCGTGGTCAAGGATGTGTGTGTGTGTGTGTGTGTGTGTGTGTGTGTGTGTGCGTGCGCGCTAGGATCACATACCTGGGCCACACAACCACACCAGTTTGTCTTCCACTCCCCCAAAATAATAATTAATAATAAAATAATCTTTATATAGGAAAAACAAACATTCTCAGAAACAAAAAAAACTATTTTATTACCATTCTGAAGTAATGATCACTAAACTACAATACATTACAATACATTCATACATCTTGATCAAATACACCAATAAATTGTATACAATACGCACTTCGGGTGAAAAATATAAGTAAATAATATTGAAATTTAGTGAGAACAAATAATTTGGTTAAGTTTAATAAATTATACTAAAATAATTATTGACAGCAAATATAAACATTAGCTGATTTTAGTAAATTATAGAAAATAGATCAATAACTTACACTGAATAATACATTAATTAATTTCTAGATACTTTACTACACTCTACTTAAACCACACTTACGAGGTTTATATAAGTATACTGGCCATTTTAGTGTTTTATCTGTTTAACACCCCAAAAATATCATAGGGGTAATTAGAATTTTTTTGAATCGGGTTTTTGGAAGTAGTGAATAATTTCAGTTCAGATTTTGAGTGTAAGGAAGGGTAATTTATTGAGTCAGGGTCGTTAAGTGAAGGTCGTTTAGTAAGGAAGGGTCGTTAAGTAAGTCAGGGTATTTTAGTAAGGAAGGGTCGTTTAGTAAGTCAGGTTAAGTAAGTGAGGGTCGTTAAGTAGGTTCTGGTCGTTAAATCAGGGTCGTTTAGTAAGTTAGGGTCGTTTAGTAAGTCAGGGTCGTTGAGCAAGTCAAGTCGTTAAGTAGGTCCTGGTCGTTAAGTTAAGGTCATATCGTACAGCAAGTAGGTTAGATCAGGTTATCATTATCTCAGGTTAAGTTAGATTATATAAAGCTATCTTAGGTTAGGTCAAACGAGCTTAGGTTAGGTCAATTATGTGGTACGTCTGCCAGTGTAATTGTCAAGCAGTATTTAGCATACGCCTGGCAGCTCCTCACCGACCGCCCGTACTGCGCTGCCAGCTGCAGATCTCGTACGGCGGCTGCGAGTTCCTGGTCAGCATTGTTTAAGGTGTCCTCAGTCACCTGGCTGTTAGGGGGAAGGTCAGGTCAAGCGAGGTCAGTTGATGTAGTCAGATAATGAAGGTCTAAAATGATAGATACAGTGGTTTGAATTTCTCTCTCTCTCTCTCTCTCTCTCTTTGATGGCATCTTGAATACTTAGGAATGGAGAGGTCAAGTAAGGTCAGGTCAGGTCAAGTGGTCATTGATTTTTAGAGATACGAACCCATATTAAGATTAAAAGACACTACTTATAACATCCAATGACAATTAATTATAGAATACGTGTTTTAAGAGACACGTCGCAATCTTTTGTTTCTGAGCCCAGTTAGGAATTCATCTCTCTCTCTCTCTCTCTCTCTCTCTCTCTCTCTCTCTCTCTCTCTCTCTATCTATCTATCTATCTATCTATCTATCACTGTACCTGAGGAGCTCGCTGAGTATCCCTGAGACCGGTTTGTTTACATATCTTGCGTCTGGCAGGTGAGCCTCGCACACCACACGGCGCCGACACTCCTGTTCCCTGATATCGTACAGCGCCCAAGCCTCTTCCAGGAGGTACAACACATTGACGAAGTCGCTCTTGGTGGCGTACGTGTAGCTGTCTGTTGGTGAGATGGAGATATAAAGATAGGGAGATAGAGAGATGGAGATATAAAGGTAGAGAGATAGAGATAAAAGATAGTGAGATAATCCTGTATTGCTGGTGATGTCATAAGAGGCTGCGGTTAATGATACGATAATTTAAACAACATGTAAGACATCCCTGTGTGTCTTCAGGTAAATGTGGCAGTGGCAGAGGGCCTACAGGTGTTAGTGGTGACTTAGCAGTAGTGGTAGTAGTAGTAGTAGTAGTAGTGGTGGTATTAGTAGTCGTAATAGAAGTGGTAGTCGAAATAATAATAATAGTAGTAGTAAGAGTAGTATACTAGTAGTAGTTGTAGTAGTAGTAGCCAAAACTAGGACTTCCCGACAGTAACTAGGCCATGGACTTACGTTCATTCTCCCGATCCCTTCCGGTACGACGATTGGTAGTAGCGTAGTAGTAGTAATACAGTGCGATAGCTGTGACGATGAAGAAGAGACCGAGAGCGAGACCAGCCGTAGTCACTAAGGTCGTGGCGTTGTAGTTATAGACGAAGAATCTCGCCTTATCTGCCATCTCCTCGACCAGCGAGACCTTGGCTAAATCTTCCTGGGATTCCATTCTTGGCG